GCTTTTTGAAAGTATTGTTGCTCGACGTCCTCGAAAAAATTTTGATTACTGGAACTGCAGGTGCAATGGGAGATCGATTTAAAATTGGAAGTTTTGTTACACCAGCTTTTTGGGTTGATTCAAATTCTGTATTGTCCTTAAACTGGATTCAGCCATTACCAGATACTCCTGTTGCAGGAAAATATAAACAAGTGAGCACTCCTCTTATTGAAAGTGAACAATGGGTTAAAGAACATTCATTTCTTGATCTGGTGGACGTCGAAGGTGGTTATATTATGAATGAACTGAAAAATTCTGGATTAGAAGTATATCTTGTTTACATTGTTAGTGATCAAATTGGAATTAAAAATGCCGATCTCACACAATGAAACGATGCTCAAAGAAGAATAAATCTAACGAATCGTTTGAGTTTTTTTCTTTTCTCACTTCATTATAATCTTCGATTCTTACATCTCAAGTCAGTTATAATTTATAATATACACGAAAATGGAGGATATTAATAATATAAAGTGTTATTTAAGTCCATTAAAGATGAATGTTGGTTAATTCTTTAAAAAAAACAGATCAGTCTAATCTGTTAATTCCATCTCGTATTTATACTTTCCAGTATAATTGATGAAGCGGAAAGTTTGAAAATATTTTCTGATAAATGTAATAAAAAGTCGAAATAAGAAACGCAATTATTCGTATCAATTTTAACATAATAATCATCCAATATTTTAAGCTTCAAAAGATATGACGTTTAACAATATCCAGATGAAAAAATTAGTAACTATTACAAATGCAAAGTATTTCTATATGAAATATTTACTGAACATCAGTAAGAAAAACAGATGGTTTCCGAATATTATAAGAGAGTACTATAATGAAAGTATTTGAAATTTTAATTTCTCTTTTTCTATTTATCGATATACTGCTGACAATGAAGAGGATCCTGACTAAAAGTAATTTTCAGAAAAGTCATCAACAAATAAAACACATCTTTTCACCTTGAATATTCAATTGCATTGCAAAGTATCTTATGATTACTTTTCTTTATCACAACAGAGCTTTCGTGTCCCAATACTATTTGTTAAAAGGATTATTTTGTTTTAATATTAACAAGAAATTAACATCATCTGTTGTAAAGTAAATTCTGTTTATTCTCTCGACCGAAAGGAGGGTTATGTCGAAAAAAAAGTGGTAAAAAATTGAAATTCGTTTGTGTGTGTATCTGTCGCAGGTCAAAGATCAAAGGTCAAATCACTGTATTTCTGAAAAAACGAAAAACTTCGTAAAACATCGTTTGGAAGTGGTTTTGAGGCTGAAGGTTGGTTGAGAGGGGGGTAATGTGGGTGGGTGGGGATGGGGGCATCAGCCCCTTGGGGTCAAAGATCAAAACTTCATGAAACATGGTTTCGAAGGGGTCACGAGACTGAAAGTCGGTTGTGCTGTGGGCAAGTGAGGCAGAGTCAAGGGGAAAAGTACGTTAACCCTGAGCTCAACGGGCCATAAAAAAATTTGATTAGCGAAACGAGGATTAGGTAACAGAAAATCTGTCATACATCGAAATTGAAAGATTCGTTCTGAGAATATAATGTACACTGAAAAAAAATAAGGTATTCTACCAAGTCCATCAAAGAGGTTTCGTAGGTGTTCAAAGCTTCCAAATGTGTCGGCATGTTCAAAAAAATAGTTTTCAAAAATCTACGAAACCAAAAAGGATCGGTCGGCGGGCACACGCTCCGAACCATCGTCTCGAAANTAAATAAATTATAAAAATATTTTCAATTGTACCAAAAAATAAAAGTAGAATTGGACCATAACGATTTAATGATAAATTGGTTCATGTAAAATAATTTGATAATGTTGACATCTTCTCTACTGACTTGTTTAAATATGAAACAAATGATTCTTT